GTATACAGTAGTATAAAGTTAGTATTGTTTGTAAACATATATCCATATCCAAATGGCAAAAGGAGTATGCTTAATTTTAACTCCCATTTGTGGTTGGTCGTGTGCTGCCTTTTCTTTATGCAAAACCATATATTCAGTAATTATGCTATGTTTGTGATCCCTTTGAATAACAGCGTTTCCTGATAATGCATCATAAGGTATGAAGAAGTATTCAGTTCTGAGTATCTAGAATCCAGTACAAGTTGACCACCTTTTTAAAGCAGTCATATTTTTCTATCACTGCTTAAATCCCTGTCTTCTCTGCAGGTCACACATGTTTTTTTCCAAATTTATATGGCTATTTCTAAGTGCAGATTACTCTTCAGTTGCGCCATTATGAAGCAAATTCTTTAGTGCAGTTCTAGAATCTAAATGTGCCAGACTTTGCAGTTGAAATGGAGCTCTTCTAGCTGACATTTTTAGTTCCAAATTATTCATGTAGAGTCTCGAGTGCAGGACTTGTAAAGGTATTGAAAAAGGCTCTTTCAAAATCAGTAGCACTGAAATTGGAGGAACATCAGCCTCTAAAATCCAGTCAGCCCTGTGACCAAAAAAAAAAGTTAGTTTTGTTTCTAATGTTTTAATTTCAAAACTTACCAGAAATGTCATCTTCAGGGTGCCAGAAGTGAAGCTATTTTAAGAAACCTGGAGTATGTCCAGATAAATAGGACAAATCCGTAAAAGTTTTCTGCCTCTTAAACACTTTAATGCACTCAAAATAGGAGCAAGATGATTTGGAACTGTCTTTCTGGTTCGTTTCTTGTTTTCTGTTTTGAGGGGTACTAATATATCACTGTTATGAATTAACATTCTTGTAGGTTTTGTTGTTGTTGCTGCTTCACATTTTGCAGATGTGAATTTGAGGGGCTGAGAGTTCATGGTTCTGAGAAACTTGAAGCAGGTTTGAATTGTTTCCTTCCCTAAATCATTACAGTTTATCCTTTCCCAAGCACTGCCAAAATTTGGCACCTGGATATCTCATGTGTGTTAAATAGGGAATGTGGGAATGATTGCTGTACTTAATATTTGTAGCACTTCAAAATCATTTGAAGATACCATGCGAGTTACCAGTCCTAAAAAGTATGCTTGTAGGCTAAATTAAAAAAAAATCCTTAAAAGATCTGATAGGACTACATAAATTATAATTGTAATATGAATAAGTTAACATGTTAACTTAATAAGTGAATAAGTTTATGTATTAAGCTCTGAAAAGGAAAAAAAGACTTATTTTTTCTCTAGGAGTTAAAAAAGAGTATATAAAGTATGGTTCTGGAGAGTTTGCCATGCAACTGTCTGTGCTTATATCAGCTAGAGGGGAATGTTTGGAGATTATAGGGCATAGTAGACTTCCTCTCAGGAGTGTTTAAAATGGTGTAAGTAAAATATCATCTAGGAGCTGTGGTGGCAACTTAATTGTGCTAAATTCTGTACCCATGCTTCTGAGTTCATTGCAAGATCTAAATAAGCAGCTGCTTGCAATCTGAAAAAGATGGACTTGTTTGGAAATTATAGTTGTATTTTAATCTCCGAATCACAAACAAGGCCACAGTAAAAGTCAGCTAATCTATTTGGTAACATTACTAAGCGGCTGAAATGGAATCTTTGTTCCTGAAGTTAGGGAGCCTTGAGCCTTCTGTCATCATGCCTATAGTAACTACAGCAATTCAGCTTGAGCCGCTGACTAGATTAAGCTTCTTAATGGTGCAGTGAAACGTGCCAACTGCTACTCCTTGTTTTGTTGCCTAACTTCTGGTTGCTCTCAAGGTAATTAATTTTGGTAAGTAGTTCTTTCATACAGTGCTCCCGTTCAGAGGTCTACAGCAGTCTCATGTTCTTGTTTGACAGTGATTCTGGATGTCTAAACCTAGCAAACAATAACACTTAGCTGTTAATAAGTGGAATAATAGAGGTTGGTCACACAGCTAGCTTACTGATAAAGGTAAAAGTGTTAGGGCAAGTTTTGAATCATTTGGTGAATCTAGTGCTTGCCAACGTAGAACATAGTTGTATACACAAATTAAACATGTTTTATCTTAAAATATCTCTTAAGTGGTATGCAGGGAAGTGATAATGCTCCTATTATATAAAAGATAAATTTGAGTGAAGAAATCAAGCGGCTTAGAGCTGGATGCTGACTGAACTTTTATTTCGTATGGCTTGGAAACAGTCTTTTTAACTCGTATTGTATGGTATGAAGGTGCATGTTTAATGTGTGACCTGGCAGATATATTTTTAGAGGATGAGGTGGGCTCTTCAAAGACAAGACTTGTCGTCTCTGCCTCAAGTATCTGGTTTAAAATTTAATTTTGCAAGTATATATCTTTAGCACCCAATATCAGATGTAAACTTAGTTAAATGTGAATATATTGACTGACCTAATTTAAAAGAGCCCTGCCTATAGTGCTTGATCCATTTTCTGCAAATCAGATTACTGAGGAATGTGCAATTTTAATCAGTTTAAAATATTCTGTGTTTTTTGTCTTTGTAACTCTGAAAAAAGTTGTCAAACAGTATGCATTTTGATACAAAGAATGCATAGAGCTCATCTGTAATGAGCAGTCTTTGTTGATTTTTGCAAATTTAACATCAAAAAGAGTTACTGGAAAACATGATAACCTCCTCTTGTTCTTAAAGCTATCAAGTGTTCTAGAAAGAACAATTATAATGCAGATTTGCCCTAGTGCTTCTGTGCTAATTCTGTCTTAACCATAACTCTTTTCCTTAGAGAGTAAGACTCTGTGGTTTCTGCCAGGTTTGAAAAATAAGACAGACTCGGAAATTATTTTAAATTATCCTCAAGCTGCCTTCTGCTCCCCCTATATCTGTTACAGCTTAGCTGCTTTTGTAGAAACTTGTTTGTTACCTGTGCAGCATTCTGGTATTTACCTGATCGATACCTACTACTCTCCTTGATGTGCCCCAGGTAGTTTGTGGTAGATTTGTGGTCTTGCAGAATGTTGTAGGAAAATTGAAGGTAGAATTATCTTTCTGGTTCTTCCACAGCCAATTTTAGTGAAGACCTTGTGATAAACTGAGTTTCCCCATAGAAGAAGATGGGTTAATTCAAGGTCTAGTGTCAGACTTAGCCTCTGGCTTGATAGTTGGCCTTGGTTTAGGGTTCCAGACTTAGCTGAAAGTACTTGCATGGTCATGCATGATGATAATGGGCAAGGCTTGGTGTGTTGTTGAATTGTAAATAAACGTTGGGACTTCCATGAACAGTGAATGATTGCTGGAGTTGGTAGCTGCAAAAAAAAAAAAAGTTTATCTAAAGTTGTGGTATCCAGTTGTAGGTTTTTGGATAGAGGAAAGGAAGAGCTATAGTCATCATAAGGTAAAGTGAGAACAAATGAAAAAGAGGAAAAAAATGAAGATGGGGAAAACAGAGATACATCCTCTTCTGTTTACTTCCTTTTTCTTCTAAAAGAGACCATATAAAAGATGCCTTCTATTTGACAGAAGAGATTTTGAGGTGGACTGTTGGCCACATCCAAGTCCTAGGTTTTGAATACCTGCCGCACTTGGTGAGCTGAGCTCAGCTTGCTCTCATTCTGCATTTCATATTTCTGGAAGAGACAAAGAGTGACTTTTGGGATAACACATGCTATTGAAACAGCTAAATGGTGACTAGTCTGGCAAAAAATCCTGGGAATTACTTATTGAATATTTTCTTTCTTCAGCTTTACGATAACTTGGGCATAAATAGCACTTTGGGATAGAAGGCAAAGGAAGGTGGGAATGTTGTTGTCATTTTTATGTAAATGAAACTTTCCTCCTCTTTGACAATAGTTAATATCTTTCATGACCAAGTGAGTGTTTTATTCTTTGGGTTGTTTGTCCTTGCAGGCTTTTGTTTTATTCGGGGGTTTGTTTGTTTGCTTTTTGTTTTTGTTTAAATGCATGAGTGCCTGTGTGTGAATTGGGATCTTCTTGAAAGTGCTTAGAGGTCCTGCATTGGATCAGGTGGTTCATTGGTCACCAGAGAATTTTAAGAGCTGGATGGATCACTGTCTTGATTTCTGGTCTTAACTCAGATATCCTTGCATTTCCTTTTATCTGAACTGTTCTGGAACCTATATGGAAATAAAAAAAACAGTCATGCAGAAGGGTATAATAGGGTTTTTTTTTTGTGTGTGTGTGTCAGTGCTGGTAAGATTAAATTGGCTATATAATAATATTCTGCTTAAGTGAATGCCCTCTTATGTGCCTGCCTGATGATGAGTAGCGACTCTGGCAAGTTCCAGCTAAGAATGTTTAGGGCAATGTAACTGATAATTGCTGGGTTCTTTTTCTCAAGGTCTGCTATTCTGGGAGGAGGGAAGAAAGGGGATGACCTGATCTGCTTTAACAGGCTTGCAATTTCTTGCTACAAGTAGCAAGAATAATAGTGTAACTCTTGATATAAGGAATTTCCCTCCTCGTTGTCTGAACGTGTTGTTTTCCTCTGTTTGATTAGGAAATATGACTTGGTGCATTTAATATCTCTAACTGCGGAGTCCATAATGGTTCTAACTGGGGGGAAAAAATCAGAAATATTGTACCACGGGTAATGGTATCTGAGCCCTCAGCTGCATAATTGAGTTAAATCATTGAGCTCCCCTCGTGGATTGCTAAATGCTGTAGAAACTTAACATGCTTTTTAGTGAGTCCATGCTCAGTATTCAACAATTCTACATTTTTCAGGGTTTTGTATTGATCAAATGTTGACTGTTGCGGTGTTGTAAAGTTCAAATTGGGGAGCTGAAAATGCCTTAAAATAATATATTCTTAAGTAAATTTAAGGATTCATGCATGTAATGGATTCTAAAACATCTCCACCCAACATGCTTAAAAGGAGTAGCAGTGATACAGCAGTGATGATGCAGATAAATGTCGTGTGAACTTTTGTCTCATGAATTTTGCCTCCTGTATTGGCTAGTGCTCAAATTATTTGATTGTTTTGGTATTCATATTTTCAGGCTAATTTTGAGGAGTGAGAAGGAGGTACCAGACTCGATGAGTTTCCACCGAAATGTCGGAAAAGTCAGGTCAGAGTACAAAAGCAAAGGATGGAAAAACCAAGTATGCAACACTCAGTCTGTTTAATACTTACAAGGGAAAATCACTGGAAACTCAAAAAACCACAGGTGAGTACACTGACCTTAATTTTTCAGTATTTCCTCATCACTGCAGTACAGCCATCCAGGAGTGCAAAGCATATGAGCACCTGACAACCCTAAGATTTTTGACATGCTTGACAGTGGTTAAATGGAAGAATTGTGGGAAGGAATCTTGATTACAGTTTCTGATTACTTGTAAGTTAGTGTTTCAGTTCAAGAAGACAATGTTTTCAGGTTACTAGGAAGTATAATGTAGATGAATTAAGAGAACTGTTTATTATCTGCTCTTATTCCCTAGCTGTTTTTTAACTGTAAATTGATGGGCAGTGATATAACATTGCTTCTGCCATTGAGCATATTTTGAGATCTTTAGTGAGTATGTTTGTTCCTGCTGCTTCCTTCCCCCGCCTCCCCCTCCAATACCTTTAAGGATATAAATAACAAAACCTGTGCAGAACTGGAGGTGCTTGATCTGCAAGACAGGAATGTGCACTGTCGCATCGTGTGCTTCATGTGTGTTTTTCAGGCAAACACAGGACAAAACTTCCTGAAGTCCCAAATAAGACCCCATGTGGTTATGCTTTTTCATGATTGATAGGGTTGAGAAGCATAGGGAAAAAAAACTCTGTAGGCCTGGAATGTGATTTCATGTATCTGCTTAAATCCAGGGGGAGAAATCCTAACTTGAGAATTATTTTTAATATTTGAATTATTTTAAAGTTCACAGTAGTTCTAGATTTTAGCTTTGAAAATGACACTTGTATGCTATAACATACTCTAGGGCAGTAAATCGTACTTTTTTCACCTGAATTAATTAATTGGTAGATTGAATGTCCTGTGCAGTGTTAGCTTTGTACTGCTTTTCATACCTGTGGCCTGGAGTAAATGCACTTCGTAGGAATGTTTTTGCAAGGACAGCATCTGCCAGCTGAAATTGAAGCACCAGCCAGTGGGCTTGTGCACCAAAAAAGAAATGGGCTGGACCCATGTGTGTGTTCTTGGACTCATCAAGGTATGTTAAAACCCCAAAGGAGGAAGAGAATGAATAATACTTAACACCATCTTAAAGAGCTTTAAGATACCAACATTTTATTTACAAGAGCTCCTCTACCTTACTGTCACTGAGCAGTGCTTCTAAAAGTGGGCCATATATCCCATTTCATCTCTGGAATAGGTTAACCATATTGATTTGCTGTTTAAAAAATACTCAAGCTATGCCAGGCTGAATATTTCTAATTCCCTTTTTTAATTAATTGTGAAGTATTTTGAGTTTCTAATTGTTATTCTCTTAAACTCCCTCTCTATTTAATTTACTTTTTTCTAGCTTTTTTAAAAATTATTATTATTTCTGCAGCTCTGCCAATTAACACTGTTAACTTCCACTTTCTGTTTTGGCATGCAGTTGCCGCACGCCATGGATTGCAGAGTCTTGGGAAAGTTGCTATTTCGAGGAGGATGCCTCCCCCTGCTAACCTCCCTAGTCTCAAAGCAGAGAACAAAGGCAATGACCCTAATGTGAACATCGTGCCTAAAGATGGCACAGGATGGGCTTCAAAACAAGAACAGCATGAGGAAGAAAAGTAAGTGACCAGTAAGATCAGGATGAGTTTGCTTACTGAGTAGTTCTTTGCACTGATCCTTTATTATTTAGCAAAATATTTTTTATTTTAATCTGCACTGCAGACTAAAAAATTTGAGCTAGGTTAGCTAACATGGTATTGTGGTAGTTAGGTCTTGCTTTAGGGGTATAATAAAGCAATTCTAGTCTAGTAATTTCCCCTATTATTTTTGTTTTAGCAAAAATAAGTATCAGTGAGCTGGAGATTTTGACTTGGGGACACTCTTGACACTCTGGAGGCTTAAGATATTTGCAGAGCCAGAACTGAGAAATACCTATTCTTGAAAAGGGTTGAACAGCCTCATCAGGTTTATAAACTGGAAAGATCTTCTTCAAGCATGTGTTCATTTCTTAGATTGAAACAAAATTAATGCCTGTTGAAAATGTCTGCCTCTCTTTTCATTGCTAGATAATGAAATTGAGACCATACCTTTGTTCTCAGTAGAACTCAAATTTCTTCTTTTAATCCCTGATACCCTTTATTTTTTTATAATGTCTTTAGGTTTTCTTATCAGTTCCTTGTACTTCATAATTTCTGACAGACTTATTTGTGTCATCTCTCTGTGTTCATGGTGGTATTTTTTAGAATTTGATTTCTTCTCTCAGCCACTGAGCCAAGAAAACATTATTCCAAAATTTTCTGTTCTGTGGTTGTAGAGTGACTGGATTTTCATCTTCTAATAAACTGCTTTAAAAGCTGTATTTCTGTTCGTGACTGATTACTGTTCTTTCCCAGCCATTTTACTCATACCCCTTCACTTTGGGAAATCCAGTCTAGATAGCTAATTTATTTCAATTTATCTGTTACTATAACAACTGTTGTTATATATGAAAATTGTTAGTTATTGGTTCTTCAGCTGCAGTTATCTCACTTCATTCATTTGCAGCAGTCATCTTGACAATCTCATTCTGCGCTCAGTCTCTCTTGTGTTCATGAGTGCTTTTCCTCTGATTCCAGACAGCCAGAAGTGCCGCAGACACAGCCAAAACCTGCCGCTCCTGCTCCTCCAGAAGCAGCTCCTGTTGCCAAATCATGGGCCAGTACCAAGCCAGGTGGGCAAGGAGATGGTAAGTGGTGTTAAAGGTGGTGGGAATCTGGACTGGCCTAGCGGGCTATGAATGCTGCTGTGAGAGATCCACACTCAGCAACCTTTTGAGTCTTGACCGAGCCAGCTGGGACTAGGAATGCTGTGGAAGCAACTTTCTTGGCCTGAAGGTGAGCCAGTCCCTTGTCACTCAAGTGAGTTCCAGCCCAATTTAGTATGTAGCAAGTCTGACTTTTAAAGGGCTTGCATGGCCTTTTGGGGGAGATTGGAAGAGCAATAGTGCTTATAGCACCAGATCTTGAACAGGGCTGAAATGGGTGGAGGAAGAAATGTATATTTTTAGTACATAGAATTCTGTCACAGGAAGGAGCAACTTATGTGCTTAGTGGTCAATTTATTCAATATTCTGAATTTTTTATTCAAAAGGTGTATAGTCTACCTTCTGTATAAATGTCTGTAGCAACACTCCTTTCCCTTTATCTTAGATTCCTTGGTTTGGTGCGTTTCTTTTTAAAATGATACTGTTCAAGTAGCACTTTTTGTTGCTGAGGCAAAGTATTAAAGGTGTCTTATGTAATTATATGAAAGAATGGAGAATTCTTTTTGTTACTGTGGATCTTACCTTTACTGTTTCTGTTGCGCATGTAAGGTTAGAGCTTGTTCTTCAGCAGACTTTTAAAATTGCATGTGGAATGAGAGGTTACTCAGAATATCTACATCTCCGTTATGAAAAATAACGCGTGACTTGTTTTGTTGTCTTAAATCTGAGGCTTTCAAGATTTCTGTCTGAAAATTGTCTTTCATGTTGAAGTGAGCTCTTTTGTTGACAAATCTTGGAATGGTTGTATAAATCTGTATTACATGGAGGTAACCTCTAAGCCATTACTTAGAGCTTACTGTTAATATTGCACGTCTAATGACTTTGCCATTTTAATGGAATAGATACTCAAAGTGGCAGTTCTTAAGAGTTTGCACTTTTTGCTCCCCTGTCTCATGCCCATTTTACCACTGTTCTCCCGTATGGAAAATCCACTCCCTTAAACCAGCTCTATAATTTGTCTTGAAGGAGTGTTGTAGAATAGATGTTTAAAAAAAACCCGCTGGCATGCAGATCACTTTGCATCAACCTTTCTACGTGAGCTGATAAGATCACCGCTGATGTGACATGAGAAATAAAGTGATTCGGCTCAGTGGCTTAAATGCATTTAGCTAATTATTTTGTGGTTGCCATGGCAACTGTGTGCCAATCCCAGATGGCACCCTCATTTGACTCCATTAATGCGGTAGTGCGGTTGGTGCTTTGAGAAAAAATGCAGGATGTGAGCTGGCATCGACTGCTTGCTCTCCTCCCTGGTTCGAAACTCAGGGTACACCTGTCGTGCTCATATTTTCGTGCTCTGCAGTTGGCTGGTGGGACTTGAGCTTTTTCTAGACGCCTGGCACGCGTTCCAGCAGGAAGGGAGCCAGCAGCCTCATGCTTTTGTAAACCTTCGTTTGAGTGAGGCAAGATGAAATCCTTCTTGGATATTCCATGTGACCAGCTAGAAAGGAAGGACTTCTAAAATGTAATTGCAGCATGTATTTTTCTGCTCTCATGTTGATTAGAAGGTGAAGTTAATTGCTGCTGTAACATCTTTGAAGACCTTAATTGCTGAACTGTTGTTGGCTGACAGCCTAGCTATTTCAGGTTGATGACCTGAGCGCTGTCGAGCTTATCACTGAGGATGGTATTGCTTTGCAATTAAAACATTGCTGTCAGCGTAGACTTGGGGGCAGAAAACATTTTCAAGATGTATAAAACTCAGGAGCATCGCATGTCACAAGACCACTAAAGGAGAGCCCTTGCTGGTTTAGTGTGACTGCTGCTTTCAGTGCTATTAAACAAGCTCTTGGATGTAGCTAAATGGACACAGCAGGAGTCCAGTGTCTGAAAAATAAAAAAAAGCCACAACAGTTAATATGACCTGCAGAAGGTGAAGTTGGAATCAAGCTTGAAAGTTCTCACTGCAGTCTGTAGGCACAAGTGTAAATATTGTGGTATTTGCTGTTACGACCTCACAACAGAAGTGAAGAGAGTAAGGATTTTGCCTTGTGCTTGTTCCTTAATCTTGGAAAACATCAAGGTCCCTACATGTTAGCCTTTTTTTTTTTTTTTAAGGATTCTTTTGTGGATTAAAGAGGAAACTGTCTTTTGACTAAAAAAACGATATAAGGAAGCCTTTTTTTTCTCCTGACCCAAGGGATTATTTGTTTTGGACTGTATGTGTTCAGATCCCATTTTTTGTCAGTTTGCCCTGTAGTCTTTGTGGACTACTGTGCTGTCTCTTAAAGTATCCAGGAGCTAAAATAGATGGAGGAGCAGGACATTATTCAAACTGAAGGAAATTTTTTTTTCCTCAGCAAATTTCAGTGGTTTGATATCAGACTAATAGGTCAATATTCAGTGTGTATCTGGCCGGAGGGGAAAAATGACTTGCTTAAAACCTTTGGCATAACTCTGAATTGGAATTTAAGGCTTTTGTTATGGCTTATAGACCAAACATAGATTGTCTTCCTGTGTGGCAGTTTTCTTAACTTCAGCTTTGAATCAAAGAATGTTCCAGTTCTGATGCTTAAGTTTTCTCACAAGATAAAACTGTGGCCTTCAATAGTCCAGCGGAATTATTTGTTATTAGAGCAGCGATGAATCTTAGGGGCTTTGGCAATAACATAACTGCCTGTTCTTGGATGAACTGCTGTGAATAAAACAAGGGAAGTCTTTGTGCTTGAGAAAAGGATGTTGACAGAGCTGAGGAACTTAAGTGCTCCCTGTGTTGCATCTTGTTCCTTTGGGCAGTTCAAGCTGTCTGTTTGTCTCTTTGGTTACTTCAGGGTTTTTCTGTAGTCCTGAAAGATAATTGACCCAGTAGATTTGACAACTTTGTTATTTGGTAGCAAATGTGAATCCTTTTTAAGGATTGCTGTAGACTCATGTGAATTCTGTGTTACCAGTAAATTCATGTAGATTTCAAGTTGACCTTTTAAGGATGGTCAGAATTAGAGGGCAGGTAACCTTCTGAACTCTTCAGACTACAAAAATTTGTGACTTTGATTATGTTATTGTGTAGGTCCAGCTATTCAAGTAAATAGTTACTTCCAGCAAGAGTTTCCCAGTCTGCCGGCAGCTGGGGATCAGGAAAAGTCAGGCAAAGAGAAAGATGCACCTGAAGAGCATGGATCTGGACCCAACTTGCGACCCCAAAGTAAGTATTTACTACAAGTTCTTGTGAAATTGCGTGTATTTGCGTGGAACTTGCTTATTACAAGATTTCTTGCTTCCCATGTAAAGTACATTGAATGGGTTTTTTTAATCAACATGCTTTTACAATATATAAATTGTTGAAAATGATCCAAATTGTTCTTCCATAAGAAACTCTTGTAACTCTATTTCACTATATGGTTATCTTGTTTAAGAGCTTGTCATAGCAATTTGTGGGAAAAGGGGGCTGCTTTTTTCTTGCTCTGCCATGTTCCCTATTGATGGAAACAACATATTTCTCTGAACCCTGTTCTGCAGTTTTCTCCCTGTTTTCCTAAAGTGGTCAGTAATCCACTCTTGTTTCCAAGGGACTTCTACTGTTTGCACAGTACTAACATTTTAGCTGTTGTGGCATTCAGCAGACAAAAATGTATTTAAAGTGCTCTTCTAATATCAGTTAACCGTGAAAACAGTTTTAGAATTACCCCAAAATGTGTAACATTCATATGTGTAGCCTGAAAGATAACCTGGTTTGGAAGTTTGGCCTGCAAGGTCAGAATGGGCAGTGCTGTGAAAATCTGGGGTAGATCTATTTCAGTTTTGGATGATTAACTATAGCAAGACAATCATAAACATAAAAAAGGTTAGTGTTATGTTTCAGTTCTAGGTGTGTATTATTTTCCTTGTCCTTGTAATGGGAAAGGATTAGGCATTATGTTTGTCTCCTAGGAGGAACAGGATTCCTTTGTTCCTCGGAACTTTTTGGCAGGGTTTGCACCTAAAGAGCCCTTTCCACACTGTGGTTGGCACTGCTTTGTGCCCATGGCAGAGGAGATAGTGCTGCTCTTGCAGTGGCCTAGGCTGTCCAGAGTCGTGGACTCCCTTCTGTGCTGCTAGCCTGGGTTCTTTTTGGCTTTTTTCAGTGTAAAAACACACAGCAGTGCAGACTGAGACAGTGTACTACTTCAGATCCTGATTTTAGTGCTAAGAGTAAGTCGACAAGAAATTTCAGAGATGTCACGAAAAAAAAAAAAAATAAAGAAACACTAGGAGAGTAGCTGTATGTGTTTGTTCCAGCCTCCTGTATCATTCAGTTGTAGTTTTGGTCAGCACTATGTATGCTGTTAAGGGTGATGGCAGAGGGCTGAACAGGCTTCGTGAGTACTGTCCCTTTAGCAGCCATGCAAGGAAAATGGAAGAGCTCTGATGGGAACAGGAAGCCTATAGCTTTAGCATTGCCTTGGGCCAGGGGCTTATTTCTAGGACAACATCATGCACAGTGAATGGCTGCGAGTTGTTGCTGGTCCATAAGTGTTGTAAACGAGGATGCCATATTTTACTTTTTCTGCCCTAATACTTGCTCTGAAATTTGTAGAGAACAGTAGAAGAAAGGACTGTCTGATACAAGTGCTTGATTGCTAGATCTTAGTTTTCCTAGGCTTTTTATTCAACACCTGTACCCAGAAGTACAGCCCTCATCACTTCCATTCCATCCTTGTGAGTTAGAGCTGAGCCAGGCTCTGTAGTCCTCTGCTGCTTATGAAATTTTTTTCCCTTGACAGCAGCTTTTCATATACCATCAAGACATCAAGCTGAAAGAGTGGCCAACTTAAAACAACTAAAGCTGTGTTTCATTTTGTGCTATTTTTAATGCCTTTCCTAAATTGCATTGTATTCTGGAAGGTGAGAAAGACAACTAGAGCAACCTGTGAATGTAGCTCTTGCCCTTCAGGAGTTCAGCTGGGTATAAGTTTGAGGAGGGTTGGAAAACAGCCCCTTTTTTTCTTGTGTAGTCATTGCTTGTTTGGGCAGTAAATGTTGACACCCATCTGTACAAAGATATTTGTATCACAGAAAACTCAATAGAATATTTTTTCCTTTTACTTGCCTCTGATTCTGTAATATAAAGTCTGCTTTTGTTTTGCTTTTTTCTCTCGTGCTGATTCTGCCAATGCAGATAGTACCAACTGGAGAGAAGGTGGTAATAAGAACTCGCCTGGGTCTCCAACTGATCAAGAAGCTAAAACTCCTGGGCAAGATGATAATGCTGCAGCACCTGGTGAACAAAACGATGCCCAGAAGGGAGCAGAGAAGAGACTACCACAGGTCCCTCAGCCCAAGCTGAATGGTCAGCAGCAACCACCAATCTCATCTCAGTACAGGGCAATGATGCCCCCTTATGTAAGTGTGTTATTACTCTATTCAACTAGCAGCATACTGAAGAGAAAATGCTAATTATATACTGCTAATCAAGGCTTGTAGTCATTCTGCTTTGATGGCTTGATTTCATACGCTTCTCAATAGCAAACTGTCTCAAGTGAAAAATCTTTCTTTACTTTCACTGTCATTCCTTTAATGTTATCTGTATGTTTAATACAGTAATTTTAACAAACGACTCCTATTACAAACCTTTCCTAGATGTTTAATCAGTATCCAAGAATGGCATATCCTCCTTCCATGCAAGGTCCAACAAGGTTTCCTGGTTCTGACCCTGGCAGGTAAGCAACTTTGGAAGTGTTACAGTTGTGTGGGCGTGAACTGTTGGGCATGAACTGTCTGTAACTTTAAACTAGCTTTTTTTCTCTTTAAAGGTATTTATATATAGCTTAACTGTCACTGTTTAGATTTTTTGCAAGTCTGGTTTGTGTAGAGCAGTGCCATTGGGTCACTTGTGTTGCAGAACTTTTTGAAAACCACATCTGTCCAGCTGGAAAACTTGAGGAAATTATCTACTTAGGGCTTTGATTTGGGGATGCTTTTCTGCTGTGTGTTAAAACGAGCTTCCTTCTCTCCTGTATGTCTTTCTGTAGCTGAAGGTGGCTATACACATGCATGAGAGCATGGGTGGGTTCTATGTGCAGTGAGTTACAGCTTTGACAGACAATCTGAGGTTGTGGGAGGAGAAGCTGAGAGGTGTGACTGGGAGAGCTTGAGTAGGCATAGGGTACAGAACCATAGACAGGGGGGGAAAGCTTGGAAAGTATAAAAAAATAATCTCTTGAGGTAAGTTCGTATGAGTGATGTCACATTTGTGTATGTGCTGCACAAGCTACAAGGTCTGGTTTTCAGCTATTTAGTAACAGCACAAAGCGTCAGGTTTGCTGTGAAGGCTATAACTTTTCCATTACGAAACTATCTTCAGACACTTTCCAAACAAGTAAGAAATCAATATGGTGCCATAGCAGTTATTTGAAATACAGTACTCGCTTGTCTCAAATTCGTATACCGTATTTGATATATCCTGTATCCTGTCTACTTGAAATAATTGCTTGTCACTCAAGTTGACTTTGATCTGTTCATATTGCTGATTATTGACAGTGGCTTTTGCTTCTGTTTCCCTTTCAGAGGGCCAAGGGGAAGAGGACCACCTTCCTGGTGTTCAGAACCTATAGAGCGCCCATCTATTCTTAGTGCTAGTGAACTTAAAGAACTAGATAAATTTGATAACCTAGATGCTGAGGCTGATGAGGGCTGGGCAGGTAAGAGCATCAGATTGACTTTTTTTGTTGTTTTTATTTGTACATTAAATCTTTCTAAAACATTAATTGAGTATTTGCTAATGTAACAGGTGCACAGAGTGAAGTGGATTACACTGAACAGCTGAACTTCAGTGATGATGATGAGCAAGGAAGTAGTCAAAAAGAGAAGGAAAGTGGGTAAGTTGGTACTGCCAGTTTTATGAGAGTGACATGTAATTGGCTTAGCTTTTGGGAAAGTTGAATGAAGCAAAGCTTATTCATTTTGACAACACTTACACAATTTATTATAATATTGAATTATTGGAATAACTTTACGCTCAAGTCAGTTAAGCATACAGTAGAAACAGTTCTGATGATGAGAAACTTCTGCTCCTGTTAAGAAAGGTTGCGGATAGAAGGTAAATCACCAAATACCTCGGTGGAGTACACCCTCCATTTTTCTTGTTTCTTTGTGTGCAGTGATGAACAAACACCATCAAAAGACTCTCAAAGCCCTGATGACCAGAGGGACGGAGAAGAACAGACAAAGTCTGCCACGCAGGTTTCCACAGCAGCAACCAAAGCATCATATGGCAAAACCTCTCAGCTTGATCAGGTTTGTGGGGTTTTTGTTTGTTTTGTTTTGTTTTCCACTTCAACTCCTCTGGTAAAAACCTTAACAGAAGAGGCCCGACTCAGGTGTCTTTCCAAACTGTCAGGTCTATTAAGGTTATGAACATAAGTGAAAGTATTAGGTGCTACTGCTTATGTGCTGCTATAATTGGTCTGGTGCTGCTTAGCTTCTTCATGCTATAAGAATTTTTATTTTGTAGCTAGTCTTTATGAACTCTGTCAGTTGGTGTAACTTACCTGATAAACTTTAACTTGATACTTTTGTGAGTCCATACCCTGTAAAAGGGAATGAAGCTGTGCTTGTCTGTCTGTCCTGTTTTATAGTGGCACTGGGTAAACATGCCCTGTTTGCCTATACATCTTTCTTGATTTTTATATCGTGACTTGCTTTTTTCAGCACAACTTAGCCAACTTCTCGGAAATGTTTTATGAAGACCATATAGAATTTATCAGTTCAGCCAATGTGAGGTTTTTTGTTTGTTTGTTTTTTTGATTATCCTGCAGTAGAGGAAGATTAATAACTGCCTAGGCTTATTGGTTCTCCTCTTCCTCCCAGGAAAGCTGCTGTTAGCCTTGCTGGGAAATTTTGTGGAAATGTGCTACTTTAGTGAAGGTTTGGGGATCCTCAATTTGGTTTACTACTTTTTCTCTCTGTATAAGGACCATACAGCCTCCGAGAATTTGACACTGTGGGGGTGACAGAGCACTGGATCAGGCTGCCCAGAGAGGTTGTGGAGTCTCCTTCTCTAGAGATCCTCCAAACCCGCCTGGATGCCACCCTGTGTCATGTGCTCCAGGTGTCCCTGCTTGAGCAGGGGGTTGGACTAGATGATCTCTAGAGGTCCCTTCCAACCTCAATCATCCTGTGATTCTGTGTGACACTACATTAATTCAGAGAAAAATAGTGTAATAGTCTAAAGTATGATACACTTCTAAAATAATTGTTTAGCTCTCACGACAGGATATAGATTCTTGCCCTCTTTTGCATATGCATTTATCTCAGATGGAGTGTAGTTTGCTAGATGTGGTGTCTCAATGCAATAAATCCAAAATTTGACACCCTATGTCACTGCAAGCTTGCTTATCTTAGTACTGTATTCAATCCAATAGGAACGGGGTCCAACACAGCCTTCTCTACATGAAAGAGGTGGTCCTGCTCTTCATCCAAAATCTATTCTGCCACCGGTAAGAAAAAGTAGAGCTGTCTTTATTTGCTTGCATGCAATGCTTGGATGCTGTCATGGAGGGAATTAGATGATGTCTCTAGTGAAATCTGTAGGTGGTAGCCTGTTACCAATCTTTAGCATTCGCTTTGGTGGGCAGTCCTGTTTGAGCTCTCCCCTGAGTCTCTGTGATTAAGTGGACTGTAACCAAACCAAGATGATGTTTGTCATCTTGGCATCTCAGCAGTGATGGGTGAGGTGTGGCACAAGGCCAGCTGAATCTTTCTACCATTCCTTCTGGGTTTCATGAGTCAGAACTGGAGCAGAAAGGTGGGGACTTGCTTCATGTGTTGCAAACCTTGCTGTGTAAACGTGCCTGGCACAAGGCCAGCTGAATCTTTCTACTGTTCCTTCTGGGTTCCATGAGTCAGAACTGGAGCAGGAAGGTGGGGACTTGCTTTGTCTTGCAAACCTTGCTGTGTAAACATGCTATCCAAGTATAAGTTTTGGAAGATAGTTAAAATGCTGTATTTCAGCTGACTGGTGTAATATGTTCTCTACTAAATTTACTGGTTTGAATATTGCAGCATCCTCCTCCTGATCGTCAGGTAGGACCTGGAAGACAGGGTCCCTTTCCCCCTAAACCAGTACCAGATGAAGATGAAATTTGGAAACAGAGGAGAAGACAGCAGTCAGAGATATCGGCTGCAGTTGAGCGAGCCCGTAAGCGACGAGAAGAGGAAGAAAGAAGAATGGAAGAACAAAGAAAAGCAGCTTGTGCGGAAAAGCTAAAACGGTTAAATGAGAAATTTGGCTGCGTGACAAAAGGAGCTAGAAAAAGAGAGAGAAGAAAAAGAAAAAATGGAGAAAGCAAAAGAACAAGAAAGGGAGAGTGAGAAGGAAAAGGAGATAGAAAAGGAGGAAAAGGAGAAAGAAAAAGAGGAGGAGAAACCAGCCCCTGAGGTTCCTGAGCCTGAAGAACCTGTGGCAGCACCTGTAGTGGAAAAACAAGAAAGTGAAAGCAGGAATAACAAGGAAGAAAAAGGTATGCTTGCACAACTAGGGCTTGTCTTGGGACTTGATGCATTTTTTTGTAGTGGAGCTTGGGTGCCAAAGGAGAGCTCTGTTAGACTATAGTTAATAAGGTTGTGTTGTGAATGAAAATGATTTTTGATTCATTAAATAAAAAAGTTCAGAGTTAACATGTTAGTATTTATATTCACAGCACTTCTTAGTTCACGTAATGGTTACTTTGTCAATGCTTGTGGTTAATTGCCGAATTTATTTGTTTAAAGGAATACTGAGGGAAGTATCAACACCACTTCTGTGATCATAAACTAATTCATACTTAGGCTTTTTTGACTTCGTAAATTTTTTTGAAACTAAGACTGAGAATAGAAAAGGCAGACTACTTTCATTTTAGAAAAATACTCCTGTAGCTTGACTAAATCTGGCACTGTGGTTAGGGCAAAATTGCTGTAATTTTAAGATTCATTTGTGAGATTGTATCTTAACATTTGACTCATTTTTTTCAGAAGATCAGCCAGTCTTTACCTGTCAAGATAGTGGTCGGAATGAGAAAGAGAAAGAGACACAGGTGACTCATGAAAGTGAGCCAGATTCAGGGTCTCAGCCTCGTCCTGCTGTTTCCTCTGGCTATTCTAAGCAGTTCCAGAAATCATTGCCACCAAGATTTCAGAGGCAGCAGGTAACTAAGTAGTTTATTAAAAGAAGAAATAATATGTTTACATTAACATTATATTAATTCTCCCTTATTCTGGAAGAATGTGATTATACAAGTTTAGAAGAGGCTAAGTTGTTCGCTTCCAACTTCAACTTCTGGCAGGAATGCTTGAAGTATTTCTCACTATTTGGAAACTATGCAATTGATCAGAAAGCAAGAGGGGCAACTGGCTTGTTCTTGCAGAAGTTATTGGAAGTAGAGCAATGACTTGTGGGTTCTTATGGAACCTGAAAGGTGGTGGGTTTCTCCTAACAGATTTCCTCAAAGGGGTCCTGACATACAGATGTAATTTGCACTCAGATCCTAAGCTTTGAAGAACACTTCACTATATTAATGAATTGCACAAAGTGTAGGTTTTGTATTTTTCCTGAACATAGGCAAAACTGTGGCTATTCTGAATTGTCCAATATGATTTCCCACTGCACCAGTTCATGCTGATACATGCTGGTTCTTAAATTTTCAGGCTACTTAGTGTTGTGGGGATGACAGCCATAGATTATTTTAATTTCTGCCCAAATATGCATCTTAACAAACAATCCCTTACTACTGTGTTTTGCAGGAGCAAATGAAACAGCAGCAGTGGCAGCAGCAGCAGCAGGGTGTGCTTCCCCAGTCTGCTCCATCGCAGCCTTCTAGTGGCCCTGTCCCTCCTCCCCAGCACAGACCTCTCTACCAACCCATGCAACCACATCCTCAGCATTTAGCTTCCATGGGCTTTGATCCACGGTGGCTCATGATGCAGTCCTACATGGACCCACGAATGATGTCGGGAAGGCCTGCAATGGATATGCCTCCTATTCATCCAGGTAGAACCTAGCAGCATTTTTGATTGTTGAATTGTCTGGGTTTTGGAATAAAAGTCTCTCTTTATAACCACACTATGTATAGTAACTGCATATTTTGGTGGAGGAGGGGGAGGGTAAGCCTATGTAATTTCATCATTTAGAATCAAGCAGATATTAATAACACTGGAAAAATATATCAGCGTCTATTTCTGATAAAGTAAAATCATAGGTTTGTCCTGTATTGCAGGTGATAGCTATATTCAAAATGTCAATTAAAAAATTGCTTTGTTACCGATTTTTAAGTTGACTTAAGCTAGACTGAGTAAAATAGCATTTTTACCACTCATCTTTCATTATTTGCTAACAGCTTTATATTACATTGTTTATAAAAATGAAAAATATACCTAAAATGAAAAAAAAATCACCTATTAACACCTTAAAAGTCTTGCTAATTTTGTGGCCATGGGATTCTTTCTTTGGCACTAAAAAACACTTTTTAATTTGTGGAATAGCAATTTGTGGAATTTGTGGAAAGCCTGACTTGCAATTAGAAAAGCTATTGTGCAAAAATAATACCAGTCTGGCATGTAAAATAAAGGAGATATTTAACCAGCTAATGAGCCAGGGTAGGGTTGGGGAATGCAAAGGAATAGGTATTGAGAAAGTCTGTGAGGATTGAATGGAAGAAATGGCAAGCCAAGCAAAAGTAGTGAAAACAGACCTTTAGAAACAGCAACAACAAAAGGTTCCTGGAGTCCTTAGGCAAGTACTAAAAGCTACTTTTTCTCAATTTCTTAGTGTAGAACCTTCTTCAACAATTTTATAGGCTTCCAGAGCTTATTTTTCTGTTAAGTGGAAGCAGACAGTTTTTCCTTTTGTTAGTAGATAGGGTGCTAGTGGTGAAGATCAGATCTTCCTGAGGTCAGCTAGCAGTGAACAGATGATACATGGTTCAAACAGTGTGAGTGGCAGAGAAGGAAGAGGGAAGAGAGTTTATTCTGGTATCTCTGACAGGCTTAGTCTCTCTGAATGCGGGTCACTTTGGTAATCTTAAAATGGTTTCAATTGTTGAATTTAAATCTGTCACAGGAATGATGCCTCCTAAGCCACTGATGAGAAGAGACCAGATAGAGGGATCAGCAACTAGTTCTGATTCATTTGAGCACATGGCTCGCTCGGCGAGAGAGCACGCCGTTCCGCTGTCCGAGCCCCGCATGATGTGGGGCTCTGACCCATACCCCCACGCAGAGCCTCAGCAAGCTAGCTCTCCTCCCAAAGTGTTAGACGAGCCTGAAGATTTGAGGTAAGCCTGAATTCCCGATGCTTCTTGGAGCCTCACATACTTAACTGTAATTCATATTATGAAGCACAGTTTAAAGTGTAAATTTTGTTAAACTTTAAAAGGAGCTGTGGCTGCAGAAATATGATGTACTTGGCACTGTTGTTTTCAAGCATCATTGAAATTCTGCAAGTGAATATTGATGGTATTTAAAGCAAAAGACATGGTTCATAGGAAGGACTAGAAGGTTAATTTGCACCTAATTCAGGATATGTCATATATGCAAGAATGTTTGTGAATAAAAGCTTTCTTCCTCCAACATTCTTTATTACTTCTCCTTAGGCCTGAGGCACACATGGAGCAAGAACGAGTTGCTGCTGTCCCCGCTGCTTATCCTGTAGAACACAACCAGTTGGACTCTCATCCAAAGACAGACTTTTTCAGAGAATCAGGAGAGGTGGAAGTACAGAAGTTCCCAAGCAGGCCTTCGGAAGACGTGCAGTCTCTCCATGCTGACACACCTAGCCCAGCAGTTAATTTTGAAGGAGTTGATGAGAATGTTACACGCAGCACTCAGGAAGAATTGGTGCCTGTGGGGGAAAGTCACTCTTCTCTAAAGAGAAGCATTTCCCATGGTTCAAGTCACTCTCTAAAATCAGAAGACCAGAGGAACGAGACAGTAACAAATATTCCTAAATTAAATAACAGGTCTGTTGAGACAAAGGAGACTGTGGAGAGACTTGAGATAAAGCCAAAAAGAGAAACTTTGATCAGTAACAGAACATCAGAAGGACCAAAACCTGAAAAAACATTCAAACCGAAGTCTGAAACAAGATGGGGTCCTAGACCTGGTTATGGCAGAAGGGAAGAAGGCAGTGATAGACCAATAAGAAGATCTGGTCCTATTAAAAAACCTGTGCTTAGAGATATGAAAGAAGAGCGTGAACAACGAGAAGAACGTGAGCAGAGGAAGGAGAAAGAAGGAGAAAAAGCAACTAGCGAAAAAATGGGCAAGTCTGAAAAAAGTGACAAAAAGGAAGCACCTCAAGTGCTGCTACCTCAGACCGAGCCTGAAGCATCTGCCTCGAGCAGTGCTGCTCCTCCAGCAAAGAAGGTAACCCAGGATGCTGCTTCAATACCAGTACCAGCAAGCTCAGAGAGCAGTCCAAGTGAGACAGCAGCTAAAGCTCCAGCACAGCCACCCACACCTGCAGTGCAGCAGCAGCTCCCAGCCGCACAGCCCGCGGCCCCACAGCCTCCCCCTGCGGCCCCGCAGCAGCCCCCTGCCCAGCCTGCAGCCCCACAGCAGCCCCATGTCCAGCAGGCAGCTACCACAGCGAAGGAGGAGAAGCAGATAGAGAAGGTAGCTAGCAAGGAGGTTGTAGAGAAGCCACGTTTAGAAACCAGACCCGTAAAAAGAGAGCCTGGCTTACCACCTAGAACATACTGGAAAGAGGCTCGGGATAGAGACTGGTTCCCAGATCAAGGATACAGAGGTAGAGGTCGCGGGGAATATTACTCCAGAGGTCGCAGCTATAGAGGTTCTTATGGAGGACGTGGCCGGGGCAGTAGAGGCCATAACAGAGAGTACCCACAACACTACAGAGATACTAAGCCTAGATCAGACCATGTGCCTTCGGGGCCTGTTAGGCAAAGGGAAGAGAGTGAAACTCGTAGCGAGAGTTCTGATTTTGAAGTTATCCCAAAACGGCGCCGCCAGCATGGTTCAGAAACGGATTCTGACAGTGAAGTTCATGAAAGTGCAAGTGACACACTGCTTTCGGACAAAGACAGCCTAAGCAAAGGCAAGCACCCCAAGAGAGAGGAAAGACCTGAGAGCAAGAAGCCTCCAAAGCCTCTGATGTTCAAACCCGAAAACAATATCAGAATAGACAATAGATCCATAGAAAAAACCTACATAAGGGAAGATGAGAATAAACCCAAACCAGGGTTTCTTCCTAAAGGAGAGCCTTCTAGACGAGGCAGAGGGGGAATGTTTAGACGTGGTGGTAGGGATCCTAATGGGCGTCCTCCACGTCCATCTACAATAAGGAGGCCAGCCTACAGAGACAATCAGTGGAACCCTCCTAGGCAAACAGAAATCATTAAACCAGAAGATGGGGAACCTCCAAGAAGAAATGAACATTATGGTCCTATACCAGTCGATAAAAGACCTCAAAAATTTGAGAGGAAGTTTGATCCAACAAGAGAAAGGCCACGAAGACAAAGGCCTGCTCGGCCTCCAAGGCAGGATAAGCCACCACGCTTCAGGCGCCTAAAAGAAAGAGAGGCTGCCTCAAAGATAAACGAGGCAGTAGCTAACTCGTCAACAAGTGCTACAGTTAATAATGCAGTTAATGAGCAGCCCAATCCCACACTGGATGTTTCGGGGAGTAAGACACCAGACTTGTCCAACCAAAATTCTTCAGATCAGGCAAATGAAGAATGGGAAACAGCTTCAGAAAGCAGTGACTTCAACGAAAGGCGTGAGAGAGATGAGAAGAAGACGGCTGATGCAGCAGCACAAGTGGCTGTAAAAGCAGGAGAAAACACTGGAGCCCCCAAAAGGGAAATAGCCAAGAGAAGTTTCTCTAGTCAGCGGCCTGGAATCGACCGTCAAAACCGACGTGGCAACAATGGGCCAGCTAAACCAGGGAGGAACTTCTCGGGGCCTCGGGGTGAAAGGCGGAGTGGTCCTCCACCCAGAAGTGGGAAAAGAGGGTGAGTGTTGGCTTCTCTTAGGAAGTATGGATACCTGTGAACTTGGGCTGTGGTCCTGCTGTGGCTCCGAATTGTTGCTACTCATTTTAGATTTGCAATAATTGATAGAAAAGAGTGAGACAGAAGTACATGGACCTATGACTATATACTTATTTTTTATGTTAGTGTATAGAAAATCTTGGAAAATAAATGTAAAAGCTTTGTGCTGTAGATTGTTGTATTCTAAGGTAGGGTTTTGCTTTTTTGCTTAGGCCAGGCTTAAATTTGTGATCAATGTTCCATGTTTTAGATGCTACACAGTAGATAGTTGTAACCCTATACTGTGATGTGTGTTCGGCTGTTAGTCTTCCTGATTGTTCTGTCCTTGGTTATCAATTTTCTGTTTATTTTTTTCTAACACAGACCATTTGAAGAGCAGACAGCAAGTTTGCCTGCTGTTGATCCCACCAACAGCAATTCTGTGCATCAGGAAGAAGGTGCTAATGCTGCAGGACAAAAGAGTGTTAAGGATGCCAGTGGCAAAAAGAGAGAGGAACCCAAGGCTGGTCCAAAACCCAAGCCTAAGGAAAAAGTGGATGCCTTGTCTCAGTTTGATCTTAACAACTATGCAAGTATGTGTTGATAAAATCTAATTCTAACAAGAATTTGTAAATCATACTAGCTTTGCTGGGTATAGAACTAGATGTTTGAAGACTTTTGGAGAAAGATTATCTTCAGAAAATAAATAATACAGAAAAATCACATACTCAGTTGTTGCTCCCTTTGTCATATCTAATTAATATTGTGTATTTCTTTGAAAGGTGACGTGTATCACTGTTTTTAGGTATAGGTGGGAACAAGTCTCTTACGCTGTCTGTTCTGAACTCTGACATTCAGACCACCTTCCATCACTTGGTTTCTGATGATTTGCTTACCCACTGCCTTTGCTTATGAAGGTTATCGCTGATAACTTCCAGATGGTTTTCATAAAAGACATTGTTTTGAGCAGTTTTAGCACTTTTTTCTTGGAGAGTCTGGTACAGAAAACTTCAAATTGCCAGTGATTCAATTAAAATCTCCCTCTGCTCGCCACAGTGAATACTGCACACAGAAGCTTAGCATAACCAGGGCCACCATCTGTAGTTGGTTGCGGGGAGATTGCTACTGCTCTAAAGCAGTTTTTGGCTTGGTGTGTTCTATTTCATGCTGCATCTGAAGCTATTAAAGCAGTAGGGAAGGACCATCTATACCTTTCCTTTGTCTGTAGGTGTTGTGATTATTGATGATCACCCTGAAGTGACAGTAGTTGAAGACTCCCAGTCTAACTTGAATGATGATGGTTTTACTGAAGTGGTGTCTAAGAAGCAACAAAAACGCTTGCAAGATGAAGAGCGCAGAAAGAAGGAAGAACAAACAGTGCAGGTACAAGACACAACATTTGTAATGAGAAAAAGCTTCTTGCAATACTTGGGGTATTGAAGGTGTTGCAAAGTTGTGGAGTCTTGGTTCCCAAGCAGCTGTATTTTGACCTTTTACATGTGTGCATTTAGTTGTAATATTTTAAAGTTGTTCAGAATTTGTAAATGAATCTTCCCCTAGGTTAGGATTCTCTGTGCTCCCCGATTGGTCACTATAAGGCAGGTGGCATCAGGAAAGTTGAAATATCTTTTTTTTTTTTTAATACTGTTAACTAGACTTACACCACTGCTTGTGTATTAGTTGATTCAAAGAGGAAAACAGATGAGAAATAAATCACTCCTCTTGTCGTTAAATATACCATGAAAAATACTCTTTAAAGAAGGCCTAACTGTGTTGTTTTCTGCTGTCATGCAGTACAATTCGTCATCCATGCAGGCTGTCTGCTTTAAGAATAAAATTGACTTCCGCTTACAGGTTTGGACCAAAAAAGGATCAAGTGAAAAAGGACGAGGTCAGAATTCAAAGCTCCCACCCAGGTTTGCCAAAAAGCAGCAGCAACAGGCAGCAGCTGCAGCTGCACAGCAGGCACAGGCTCAAGCACAGGCACAGCCTCCGTGTGCGACCCAGGCTCCAGGGCAGCCCCAGGCTTCTGCTCAGCCTCCGCCCCAGGCTGCGGGGGGCACAGCCAGTCCCGAGTACACAGTGTCGGGCAAAGTTCTGCAGAACACCCAGGCTCACAATGGGCTAGGAACTGAGTTGTGGGAAAACAAGGTGCCTTCTACAGCAGTTCTAAATGACATCTCCAAAAAATGTAAGTGGTGTCTTTTGAAATTTGTGGGGGAGGGAGGGACTAGCCATGCATTTAGAGAATGCTGATTGCCAGCTCTCTTCACTGATGCCTCATTTGCTCCTGCAAATGTAGTCCTGATGCTGCACAGGGAGTAAAGGGCAGCCTCTCCAAATGCAGGACTGTAAATTGAGACTCTTTAAAGCACCTATTGCTCTCTTAAATCTATGTTGTTTTGTCAGGCTTGTTTGTTTCCAAACACGATGGATCGTCCCAGTTGAAAATGGCTAAATAAGGAGCGTATTGATAAGTGCTGAATATGTTAAGAATTTCTCAACTGCACCAGGCTTACTAAATAAACCATTTCTCATTTTTTTCAGTTAATTCATAATTTTAGTTAAACATGTTAACCAACCAATTCTTCTTAACCCCCTTTTTTTTTTTTATCACCAGTGGGACCTATTAGCCCACCTCAGCCACCTTCAGTCAGTGCTTGGAACAAGCCTTTGACATCTTTTGGCTCATCTCCATCTCCAGAGGTAAGGACAAAGAGAAGAGTAGCTGTATACTGAGCTTACTCAAAGTATGCCTGATTGGACTCAGGTACAGATTATCTAGGTATTTGTGCCACACGCATGCTTGGAGTGTCAAGCATTGGAAGAGGGTGCCCAAGGAAGTAGTGAAGTCACCATCCCTTGCAGTGTTCAAGAAGCATGTAGATGAGGCAGGTAGAGACATGGTTTAGCAGGCATGGTGTTGAAGAGCTTATGGTTGGACTCAATGATCTTGAAGGTCTTTTCCAACCATAGTGCTTCTGTGATTAATTTTGAAGTTTTAAGAGAATTTATTTTCAGAGAATTTATGGTGTTTAAGAGAATAGTGTCAATCTGAACCTGGGCACCTGGATATTGTGCTTTTCTCTTTCTCTGCCAGTTCTTGTTCTTGATAATTGTGTTTTCCTCCACTACTTTTCCTTTTTCCTCTCCCAGAGCTTGTATAAACAGTAATAAGTTAGTTGAGGGGCTGAGGATGTACATTCAGTTATGTTTGTTCCTCTTGCAAATCTGTTGTGGAGACAAATGGTGCTTTTGCTGACAGAAGCTGGAAGTACAGTTGTGTTTTTAAAAAGCTGATCTTATTTGCACTATTCTGCACTGGTGGCAATACACTGATTTAGAAGTCTTTCTGAAATGCAGATGTTTACCTTTTAACTAGGGAGCAAAGCCTGGACAGGAGGGTGGAGTTGAGCTCGGTATAGAAACTATTCAGTTTGGAGCTCCAGCTTCCAGTGGCAGTGACAATGAAGTTGGCCCTGTGCTTTCTGAGAAGTCCACTGACAAGCTACCGGAACCGAAAGAGCAGAGACAGAAACAGCCTCGGGCTGGACCCATCAAAGCACAAAAGGTAAAAGATCATATCTTCAGTACAAACTTTTAAATAATAGCGAAGTAGTTCAGTTAAAAAAAAAATTACAGATCATGGTTTAATTGTGATTATTAATGAAATAGGATATTTGTTCAGTTAAGACTGTTACTATAAAAATCACATTCTGCTTAGATGCTTCCTAAAATAATCAACAAGTGGTTCATGAAGAGAAGATGGGGGAATTACTTGCATTTACTTCCTCAAATTAAATAGCATGCTAGCCAAACAGAGTTTCTCCGTTTGTTTGGAGAAAGGGATTTGACTCAGCCAAAGAAGGGATTGTGGATTGGCAAAGTTGTTTTGAACTAGTTATGGAAGTGGATGGAGTGTGAGGTTTTTTGTGTTTACTCAAGCTTTCAGAGCTCTCTTGAAGCAGGTACTCCCACTTCTGTCTTAGCTGTGTCTCCAGCTTTGACTCCTAGCATTCCAAAAACAACAAAACAAAAAAGCAACAAACAAATTACAAACACATGGTGCCCTACTTAGTTTTGTAACTGATTTACTAAGCTGAGTAGTGCATCAAGCTTCAGGGAAAAAAAAGGTGTTTAGGGGAAAGGGAGGAGTGTCAGTCACTGAAGTCTCAAATGCATAGGTGTCTAGATTTCTTTTTTAATGAAACAGATCTGAGAAGACTGAGTAAGTAACCAAACTTAACCTCAATTTAAAAACGCGCATCGCTTGTCACGTGGAGATTTAGGTGCTCCAGTTGATCATTTCTTCTTTGTCTTCCCATTGTGACCCCTCAAAAGGAATTCTTTTTCCTCCTTACATCATCTAAATTCTTTCCTGTGAAACTTCACCATGGGAGTAAATGTACATTCCTGTTACCTTCATTTCCAATGCATATTCCTCTGTTACTAGCTCTTAGTGCCAGCTTCCTACTCCTAGAAAAATTAGGGCAGATACACTTGGCTGGTATCTTACTGAGCCAGCTGTTTCAGTCTCTGGGTGTTTGAGACTTGGCAGTGGTTGTGATGTAAATAAATAAAGCTCTTTGGGCTTTTGAGAAGACTGGGAAGTTTGTTGGGGATTTTCTAACCTTCTCCAGAAAAAAAAAAAAGGAAAAAAAAAGAGAAAAAGAAAATCTGAAAGTTGTCACATGTGCAGTGAATTATCTACTACTGCTTGAAATGCTTATTGGTTATCCTGCAGCTGCTGGGTTTTATCACAAAATATGACCTCTTATAGCAGGAAGTACTTCATGGTTAATCTTGCTCCTGAAGTGTGATGACCCAGCACATCCAAAAACCTTCTTAGATATACCAATAGTTTGCCTAAAGATGCCTACATCAAATCACCCAAAGGCACTGAACTCAAAATAAGGTCATCTGATGTCTAGAAAGCTTCTGTTTTTTGGGGTATTTTTTTTTCCTTCTCTCCTTGTTTCTCATATTATAGCTATGCAGGCTCCTATAGTGTTTTTTTTTTTTTTTTCCTCCCCCCTGAAAAACAAGTGTGCGATGGCATGGTAAATTATAACAGTGTGGAGTTGGGGGAGGATTTAAGGGCTGTAGTTCATTGGGAGCTTATATTCTGGAGGGCTCTTGGCAAAGGAGAGGGTTGTAATCTTTTAGCTCTCGTGGTGACAACACACACGTTTTCCCTCCCTCTGCCCCAATCTCCTTCATGATGATACTGTTTGCTGTGAAGTTTCAATACAAGTTTATGGTCAGAGCTGGAGGTTGGTACTGTTGAACTGATTTAGGCATGTAAGAGAAGTATTAAGAGAAGCATATAAGAAACATCAATCTACCTATTCAGGTTTGTTTCTAAGGTGAGATTTCTTTCTGTAAACTGGTGGAGGTAGGATAGAGGGGAATATTTGGGCAAGGAGGCCTGAGGGATGGTTTCTGATGATCCTAATCGTGGCATTGTGGAGTTAGGTCTGCGCTTTTTGCTCCCCTCTGAAAGCTTCCTGCAGTCTGTGCTGCTTTCTGAGGGTAGCAGCACCTGGGTAGGGAACCCTCTCCTCCCCAAGCCCAGTCTGTATCTGTTCTGTGCAGAAGGTCTGCACATGTGGAGGCAACACCAGCAGCTCCAGAAGAGCTTCTGTCTTTTCCTATTAAGGAAGCTTAAGCAATAGTATGTGAGGACTGCCTTTAATGAATCTTGGTGGTGCTCTGGGGTTAAATGGGCTTGAATGGTCTTGGGTGGAAAGGATATGACTGTTTAAACAGTACAGCATTCAGCTTACTTGAGACTTTTCATTCTGCTTTAGTTCAGCTGCGCGAACAGAATTACAGCAGCTATTCTAGCTGCTGTTTCTGCAAACACTTGCATGCTTTTTTTTTCCTCTGAGTATACGTTTAGTGCTCAATTCCTAGATAAAAATGTTGTCAACATGCATGTGTCCAGATAGCTTTAAATGGAGGCAATCTTCTGTTTTCTAGGGCCCTGTAAAATCTGGGTTCTCTGAAAATCCAAGTAACATCTATGTAAGTCTTGTGGCTTACATGCTTTTTTTCATGCTTTCCCGTAAGGAGAGTGAAAATAGTTTTGTTCTGTAGATTTTAACTAGAGGAGATTTTAGTTGAACTCTTGACACTTGCCATAGAAGACATACTGCTTCAAAACACACCGCTTGAGATTCCTAATGTTCAAAATGGATGCGTTTCACGTTCTTGTTGCTAACTTAGTCTCAAATGATCTGTAAGTTGAAAAAGAAAATGCTTACCTGTTAGGAAAGCTTTGCAAAGTTTTAAGTTGATGTTCTAAGCATGTTAGCATAATTCTTATGGGATAGGTCATGGGGGGAAGACCTAACTGACAAGTTAACACTAACTTAGCTTCCAGACTTGAGTCCAGTAGAAAACAAAGAGTATAAACCTGGTCCTATTGGGAAAGAGCGTTCTTTAAAGAACAGGAAGGTGAAGGATGCCCAACAGGGAGAGCCGGAGGGACAGGAAAAGCCATCTCCCACCTCTGTCAGAAGTCCCGAACCTGTCACTACAAAGGAGACCAAAGCAGCAAGTGAACTTAGTACGGAAATAGGAACGATGATATCTGTGTCTGCTCCAGAGTTCGGAACAAACACAAAGGTAAGAAAAACATGGAAAAAGTACTGACCACTGTTTTTAAATATGATTATATGAGTTAATGGTCACTGAACTAATATTTGGTTGCTTGCTGGTGATAGTCACCTGGACAGCAGAGCCCCCTGAGTTGAAATATATGAACAGTGCTTGAATTCAGCAGTTTTCCAGAAGTGGTATGGAGACATTATATCTCTGTGCAGATCTCACCTTGAACTGTTTTAAGCTAATTTATTGTCCTTCAAGTGTGAGAACTGCCCAAGCTTTACCTTTCCAGGGAAGAGTGGTACTGGAGCCTGGTGTAGGCAGATTGTGTAGCCTTGAATCTTGAACATGTTTGCAATGTGCAGGACAAGTGCTTGACTTTAAGCAGGGAACTGTAGTATGCTAGAGACCTTATAGGTCTAAGAGGTCAATATGTCAGCTTCTGAGGACTTGGGTATTGTGAGGATATTCCCTTGCAGTATCAGGATGTTCAGGACTGGTCATAGTTAGCCATCTGGAATTCCCCTGGCTTCTCTGTAGGCTTAACTGTGCTTAACCTTAACAGGTAGATTGCAACTTCCTGTCAGGATTCATCGTTCTCAAAATCCGTCTTTAGCCCTGTTGCACTGACAGCAGAGAAAGGCTGAAAGGCAGCTACTCCTTTGTCTAATGTCTCATGTAAGGGGTGGCACGTGGAATGCTACAAAACAGCCCTTGCTGCTCGGAGCTGTGCTTCTTGAGCAAGAACTTGGCACAAGCTCTTTCATCTCTGAACTGTAAAGAAACCATACTGCTTGGATATCTGCTACTTACCTGTGTTGGTGATGGCAAAAGGCTTCTTATGCACTTGCAGTTTTACAAGTTCAGACACAAGTTTGTTTTGTGCTGTCTCATTCTCCCGTTTCCTGGTCTTAAGTAGAAATCTTCTTAACAGGCTTAGGAAAAAGATTGCTGCAGAAAACAGCAGTATTAACAGTTGAAGAATCATGCAGATAACGCACAGTTTAATGTTTCCCTGTGTGGGTTGTTTGTTTGTTTTTGACAGCCTTAGCAGCATTTACAAAGATGTTCTGCAAACAGATGATATGTTGTGAAATGTTTTCCGGGGCAAGAATTGTTCAGAGGGATGCTTGTGTCACACCATCAAAATTCATTTTTTTGAGTTGAAAGGCAAATATGTATGAAAATTCAGATTTTTGTGTCCTTGACAGTTTCAATCTACTAAGCAGGTGTGAATGGTCTGTGTTGATGTCAGAACAGGGTTAAGTGCACTTACTCTATGCAGAATGTGAAGTACAGACCCGTAAACACTTAGTCAATTACTTGCTGAGGAGCATGATCTATATATATGCTATGTGCTTTCTTGCCGTTTTTCAAGCTGTTATGACTGGAGCCATTACAGTGGCCTGCTTGAGACGTAGAGAAGGGGACTTTGACTTATTCTAAGGCACCTACGGAGTAGGAAATATATCTTGTTTGATTACTCTAGGCAGAGACCCTCATGAAGAGCTCTACTAAGTAAATCAGTATTGTTTCTTCGCTGTAATCGTAGTATAAAAACGTGGGGTATCTTCAAAAGGGCAGTCTGGATTTTATGGTCTTTCTACGCCTTTCTGTTTATCAAAAACGGGTTGCAAAGATTCTTAGAAGTATTGCAGTATAGGACATCAAGAGCAACATTTCATTTTGGAAGGGAGAGCAGATTGAAATGAACCTTTCTAGTTTGTGCTGCATGTGAAAATCCCCAACAATCTCTTTATCATGTTAAGTGGGTGCTAATAGAATAATTTAAGCATAGTTGCGAAATTCCTATTTCAACAGTTCCCATTTTGTTTTTGAATTCCTTTGTTAGGAGTAGTTCCTCAGACATCTTTTCTAGAAAAGAGGTGGTTTATTTTTAATTCTGTGGAAGTTGAGCAACAGCCTGCATTTTTTTCCAGGAAAGAAACTTCCTCTAGGAAAGTCTTAACCACTATAAAGTGGCCATTAAAATAGTTTCAAATACTAATCTTGTCCTAAAGTTCTACAGTGATTAGTTTTACAGATCTTTTTTCATGCTTTTGTGTTTTCTGTCCTCATTAATGAAGGAAGAAGCGACATCACCATCCTTAATCTGTTGTTTGAATGTCAAGGAGTGTTAAAGTTTTAGCAAACCTAAATGATTTCTCTTTTAACACTCTTTAATATCCCTCTTGGAAACCAGTGCTCAGTTTCCAGGAAGAGACTCTTCCTACTTCTGAGAGCTAATTTTGGAAGCATCGTGATTTAGTATATCTGGTAATTAAAACTTCCTGCAGAAGCCTTGTAAGAGTCCCCCTTTCACCCCCAAACAAGATGCTGTTAATAAGAATACATGCATATATTGCAATAATTATGCAAGACAATTTTACCTTTAATTGTATGAATTAAAATTACTTTATACTGATTAGCTGTTTAATTTGGGATATAAAGATGGTCCTCTGAAGCGATTGCAGCTGCTTCTCTTGGGTTTTGCTGTATTTTTGGAGTAGAAGTGATTTATTGTGTATGTCTCTGAATCAGGTAAGACTCCCCTCTCCCCCCCTTTGTTTTCTTTACCTTTTTATCCAATTTGCAAGCAAAATCTTGAAGCTTTCAAATCTCAGTTGTGATGAATACCTGGCTGTGGGCATTGTAATGAAATATGCACATGTATTGGAGAGAAGCTGTATCTTTTGGAGATGATGCACAAGAGGACATAGCTTGTAGTTGAGAGTTGATTTTTCTCAGATGACTCAGCATCCGATAAGCTCCCTGGTTTGGATGGTTTTTACAAACCAGGAACAAGTCAAGCATTCTGTGAAAGGATCATTTATAGTCCGTGGTTCCCTTATGGCAGTATCATCTCTAAGGCCTACCTTACCCTTTTGTTTGTAAAATCACTTTAAGTTTTGATCTCTCTCCTTTCTGGACAAATTAGGTAGCTGTAAGATGCTTGCTTGTTCTTTTTATTTGGGTATCGATCACTTTCAGATGGTTTCTGAAAAGCATGCACAGCTTCTCTTGTGGTTATTATTGCTAGTTTGTAATACAGGGCTTAGTTGGTCTCTTGGGTAAAATAGTTTCATAGGAGAAACATTTTAATTAAGACTCTGAAAACTTACAGGAATAGGCTAAAACTAAAGGAGAACTGTAGACTTCATGTATTGATAATTGAAGGGTGATGGTTAAGCAATCTACAGTTATGGAGTGTTTTCTAGGGCTAAAGGGCTGTCTTATCTGCACATTCAGGATGTCTAGCTTTTCTTGTAAGGTACTTTAGCTTTGCAAGTACTTCTAAGGGCACCAAAATGCATGTGGTTGTTCTTTCATTCTTTTGCATAAGAAGCTTTTTTTTTTTTTTTTGCTGTTTCCGAAGTGAGGAAGAGAGCACTGAAAGGCCATGTGAAAATATCCATAGTTCTAATGTAACTTTGTAAGGCACTTCAGTGCTAAGACCTTACAAGACTTTGAATCCAAACCATGAAGGGGTTTGGATAATGTTTTATTAAAAATTTCCTCTGCTTTATAGAGCCAGGCTTCTTTGAAAACCAAGAAGCCAGTTAATTAGTTCATTAAAAGGACCTTATGTTTAGAGCAACTTTATGTGCTTGTCTGGTTTTGCCTGAACCGAAATTAACTACTGGATGCAAATACAAATGTGCAACTTGCAGTTGAGTAGTTTGGATTGTGGGAACAAGGAGGGAAGGAAAAAACTAATTGGAGAAACAGTTCTTTCCACTTCCTTCATAGACACAAAAATGAGTGTGTGTGGTGGCCTCTTCTTGGTGTTTGGCACTGTTTCGGGCTTCAAAGTAGAACTTAAAACATTTAAACCTTATTCAATGTCTGCTAACGAATGCTTCTTGGAGTTCCATTGTTTATCTAGCAAAGTTTTGGGGTCAAATTCCAGTAGCACTGAACTGCCTGTCTGGAGGAGGTTCCAGTGGGCTTCAGCTTCCAAGCAGTATCAGTGCTTTTTTTCCCCAAGTTTGTTGTAGGTCATGCTCTAGGAGCATATCACTTAGGTGAATTTTCATCACACAGCTGTGATTTTTCAGTGTATACAATTAAATCAATGAAACTAGCCCTCTTTCCTTGAAAAACTAAGGTGTGCTCGACTGTGCCAGGAATGAGCTTCAAGGAAAGCCTCTGAGTAGACTAGAAATTTCATTCTTTTCCTTCTGTGAAATCACTGCCCAGCACAGAAATCAGGAGGCCAACTCTACTATCTGGAAACTATCTTGTTTCAGAGGAGGATAAATGAAAGTCACCCAATCGGATGGCTTACATCCCGCTGTTCTTTCTTAATCTGCAGGGCCTTCCTTGTCAAAGGTTTACCTAAGAAATGTCAAAGTTTATTTAAAGCTATTACAAGCTTTAACTGAAACATTTTGCTTTTTAAACCAACTAGGCTAAAATGGCCTGTAGGAAGCTGAAGCACCTTGGGTGACAAATGATAATTGTTTGCACCACCACAATTCAGTGTTTAGTGCCCAGGAATTGCCTCACCCCACGTGCTCACTTTAAAGACGGTATTTTGAAGGTAATGCATTTTAAATAAAAGACCCTCCAGCTGTATATTGTAAGGCCATGAGGCAAGCTAATACCTCAAGTTCTTCTGGCCTTAGCAGCTATTCAGCAGCAAGGATTGCTGGACATGGCCACAGAGGGGAAAAAAAAGCTTTGGGAGGAAATTCTGACCTTCTGTTGCTTGGTAAACTCCTATAGAAGGTCTGACTTCCACCCAAGGAACTTGAAATCTAATTTAGATAAGGGAGATATTTTAATGGAATTATTTTTCTTCACAGGAGTCTGTAACAGACTACACTACACCTTCTTCTCATCCTAACACAGTGGCTACTAGCAGTACAAAAATGGAGGAGACTTTGGTGACAAACGTAAGTCTATTGCAGTGATCGTCTTGACTTTGAAGACAAGAAAATATTACATGCTTCTTTAGACCACAAAATACTGCCTTCAGCCAACAAGTCAGTAGGGTTTCCTTTGTGTTATTACTGGGCAACGCACAGCTGATTCTTGCTCTCAAGGACAGGTGGTCCAGTTAGTATTTGTTTCTGAACTCTTATTTTGTCTCAGTTATTTTACCTTAAAAAGCCATGATGAGCTAAAGAGCTTAAGAAGTGGGAGAAAAAAAATGTTGCTTGGGGAATTTTAAAGAGCAAAAATAAGATATAATAGGAGAATTGGCCCTCACCTGCAGTCAGTTCTTGAACCTGGTGCCAATAACAAAGGTCTGTGAGCATGTTTGAAGAAACACATTTAAAACGAAGCAGCTCTGAAATCACAGCACATGAAGGGAACAGCTCACTGTTTCATGAAAGCAGGCAGCAAGATGTCAGTTGTTCAGCTGTATTCAAGATTCAATGTTTGCAGGCCCCCCAGAGAATGGTGCTGGCTCTGTGTGTGTGTGTTACGGTGACCAAGAGGAATAGCTGGGTTGCGACCTGTAGCAGAGGCAAGTCTGCGTTGAGCTTGCTGGGTTATGAGGCTGGGAGCTTGGATCTTGTGATTCCTTTTGTTGCTTTAGCAGTGGAAATATAATCAGCTTTGAGAATTGAATTCAGTGGCTTGTTGATGGGGGAGGAAAGAATTGTGTATTAGGGTCTCCATGTTTTGTTAAATGGTCTTGTGAATTCAATGCAAGAAGTACATTTCAACTCATTGTGGCATTCTTCAGTGCAGGTTTGAAACAATGTTGGTGGACCTTCTTGTTCTGCTGGATTTCATGATGCAGTTGTGTTTTGTGCTGTTGTGGTCAGTCTGGGAGACTGAATTCTGTGGTGTTAATGATCTTTATGCTCCCTTGTGGCAAGATGGAGTTGGATTTGCAGCACAGGATAGGAGCTCCTAGCCACGAAGGAACTGTGCTGTCACCTGCCTCAAAGCTTCACTCTGTGGATCTCTTGGATTAGCTTTAGTTCATCCTGTGGAACTCCATTAACTTGGCACTTAAATTGTGAAGAAATGGTCAGAAGTAGCAGGCTGGCCATTAGGATGTTCTCTGTTACATTTCATTACAATTTCTTGGAGATCCATCGTGAGTGTTTTCTTGGTCAAAGATAGCAGTAGCGTTTTGTTAAGTTTGTTTTTCCCAAACTTGGCATTTTTCATCTTAACTGAAAGAAAAAATCACTTTAATTCAGTTGTCAGTTGGCAAATTCATTTTGGTGTCATGATCCTGTGACTTTGAAGGATTACAGTTTCCTCCTTCCAGAAACTGCATCTCAGAGCTCGAGAGGTCGCCAAACCCCATGTACTGTCCTGGCGCAAAGGGGCCAAACTTGGCTTGAGAAGAATTTTTGTGTAACAATAACCAAAAAAGGTATTCTGAAGTAAATCAAAGTAGAATGGTATTTGCTTGTACAGAAGACATTGACGCTTTGGAACATGAGTCTTCAGCCTCTTTTAAAGGGGGCTTAGAAGCAGCCCAGCACCTGCTGAATGCCTTTCCCCACCTACTAAATTTTCATCTTAGTTCATCAAATCTCCCTGCCACATGCTCAAGCCTTGAAGAAATTGTAGCTCATTTAATACTGCTTGAGCTTTGCTTTTCTGGGGCTTTTATAGTAGACATAGTTAGAATGTGATATGTGTTGCCTGCCTTTCAGGTGCCCCTGCCCCACACCCTTCCCCTCCCTAGGAGGGAGACTCTACAACAGAGCTCCAGCCTAACTCCAGTTTCTCCCGCTACCGTCGACCTCACCCTCAAGGTATGTACCACATCCCTCTAAGGGTCGTTTTCTTGCATGCAGGGGAAAAAAGTTAATGCAGAACTTGCTGGTGAAACCTTTTTTTAGAGCCTTCCTTTGTTTCCTCTGCTGAACTGCTTCTGCATATAAATGGATGGCTGAAACAACAGATTATATCAAAGGATGCATTTAAAGCATAAATTTCTAACCCCATTTTGCATTAACACCTGGCATCAACCAATCTTGGCTCCCACTACCCTGAGAAAGAATCCTAGCATTGTAACCTCATACCATAGTGTTCATGACAACCCACTGGAGTTTGACTGGGTGTTTTTTGTTTGAGTGCGTGGCATAAAGTTGCTTATTTGGGAATTAAAGGTTGTAAAGTAAGCCAGGCTTGAATTTCTTAGCTGTGAGTTTTTGAGGCAGCGATACGTGGTCTTTAGATGGATGGCGAAAGCTTAAGATGGTCAAAGCTAGGTGGTACTTTGGTGTTGGAGCAGTAGATTTGTTGGTGTTGTAA